ACACACACACACACTCGGAGTGGGAGTGACAGAAGAGACAGTGAAGTGCCCCTTGCCTCTCCCCCCAAACGTCACAAGGAGGGGCGGCCACAACTGCTCTATCTAGTGGGTGGTTAGAGGGTGTTACTCTCAGTTCTTGTTTCTTGTTGGGTTTTTTTCCACTGTCGGTGAGCGGGTGCTGTGGTGTGGTTTGCTCCTTCTTTTATATCAAACGTCTATCCTCCTTGTTATCTGTCATCCTTTTTCTTTGTTTTTGCTGCTCTGTTACTTGTAACACCTCTAATCTTCTGCACTTATATGAGTATATAACCTTTTTATAATACGAGTGCTGTAAACCGCTTACCGGTTATCATTATTTTTTGTCGTTGTTAAATGTAGAACATAACGCTGTCCACTTCTGCATAATCTGCTTCCCTGTTCCTCTTCCCTAACCTGTTGTAGAAGGAGAGCGACCGAACATTTTTCTTCTCTAAAATTGTCTCCTTTCACCTCCTTTCCTGCTCTCTAACCTAACAATGTTCTATCGTCTGCATTAGTCTCCACTTTCTGCCCCCACCCCCTCACCTCATTTGCCCCCTTCTCTGGGCTCCTGACTCTTTCTGAAGCCTGTCTACTGCTTCTCCTTGGCTCCTTCTTACTGCTGTAGCCACCCCTGATCTTCTTGTAGGAAACATCTATACCTAGCCTTCTCGGACAAGGGCGAAAAATCTCGGAGGTACCGTGTGCAAGGTGCGCACGTTAAAGATCCTTTGGTGGTCTATAATCGATAAGAGTAGGCTTGGCCGCCACCCGGGCAAATTCAAAATTTCCTACCAACTGAAAATGTTCAATGTGTCTTACGCGCTCATATGACCTTATGCAGTTGCGAGCGCCGTAAAACGCTTACCAAAAAAATGATATAGAAAGCGAAATAGTACGTATTTACTAGTATGTCGTGGGTTTCTCAATGTAGAATATTGAAAGCTAACCAACTGTCCCGAATTTCCCAGGACTGTTCCGGATTCGGCAATCAAGAATTTGATAAGCATTAACAAACTCTGCAGGGGACTCTCGTGGCCTAGAGGTTAAAGTGTTGGCCTCTCATTCAAAAGGTCCCGGGTTCGAATCCGGGTAGCGACCGAAAAGTTTTCTTCTCTAAATTTGTCTCCTTTCACCTCATTTCCTGCTCTCTAGCAATTTTCTGTCGCCTGCTTTCGTCTCCTCTTTCTGCCCCCACCCCCTCACCTCCTTTGCCCCTTCCTCTGGGCTCCTGATTCTTTCTGCAGCCTTTCTACTGCTACTC